GTTTAGACCCCCAATATTTTCCCAAAGCCCCAAAAAGTAAAGTAAAAAAGAAAAATATTTTATAAAAAATGAATAAATAAATATAAAAAAATATAAAAGTTTATAAAAAATAAATAAAAATAAAATATTTGAAAAAGATTTGTAAAAGGTAAAATAAAAAACATCTTCGGTTTCGGTCTGACATTTTTATAAATTTTGGTTTCGTTTTTGAAATCTCCATTTTGGTGCACCTCTAGTATCGGTGCATCCCTAATTTGCACTAACATGGAATCTTGGTGCTGGTGACATCTGTATTGGAGTTCTGTTGTGAGCGGCACCATCTGCAGTCATTACGAGCACCCGTTATTTTGGGATATCGGGTAATGAGTGCGGCAAAGTATATGGATATTGCCTTATATAGTATATATCTGGGGACCTGTGGCACACTGGCATCTTAGGGGGGCATCGTTTATGTACAGATTGCATATCTGGGGACCTGTGTCACACTGGCAAGTTGTGATTAACTCCAAATACATGCATAGTGTATACTTTACAAAAACATTGCCGCGAGACGCTACAGTGTTCGGGTTTGGCTTGAAGAAAAGGTGGCAACCCTAGTAGTCCCATAGAGAAGAACGGGGGCTGTATACTAATCACACGCAGCACCTGTCCTTCCCGGGAGCTGCTTGATACAGCCCTGTATGTGCCGGCCGATTCCAGTGTGAATGAGGCCGTATAGGGAAGAAACATCATGTTGAGTTTAAAATATAGTATATGCAAGGCTTTTTTTAAGTTTTGAATAAAGTAGGGAAGTATTAAAATCTAAGCCAGGTCTTCATTGCAGTCTGTGTTCACCTTCGGGGAGATTTACATTCACTCCATGTGAGGTCAAGGACAGGAAGTACGAAGAATTTAATATTTTTCTAAATAGCAGTGGAAGTTAGAACCTCTGTGAGGATTGGATTGCTGTCTGTGTCACTGCTAGAGAGACTTCCTTCACTTTCCTTGTAAATGGGATAGATAAGGATTTTCAATGTGATAATAACAAATATTTTTTTTCCACTGAAATTGTAATCCCCAAGTCACTGCTTTATCATAACAATACTCAACTGCACTGGCTCCACTAAGTTGCAAGCTAAGGATCATGCCAATCATAGCAAATAGTTGCCAGCGATGAGATGGGTCACGCAGCAGCTCCAGGACACCCATTCTTCCTTTTTTTCCAGCAGTTTTTTCCTTCAACATTTCATCAATGGCAGCTCGGTGGTCCCTGTCTCCCCACAGCTGCTTTAGTGCTTAGGAAACATAAAAAATGATGAACATATGCACTTTACTTTTATAGGGATTAAACAGATTAGACTGATATGCTGATAAAATTAGTCTAATAATACATTATGTGGTAATTCTCTTGTGCAGCTTCTGTGGTTGAGCAGGCTCCCAAATATCCAGTGGTGCCTACTGGAGAGTTCCAAGAAGAGCCATATGAAGGACAGCCAGAAATTCTAAAATTTAAGGTGATCCATGTTTCAGATGTGCAGTAGTCCAATAAATCAGATATTGAGTCAACACTTGCAAAATGACCTCTAAATTAAAATCATCCTGTGTAAATTATTTCCTTCTTGCTTGGAGGGCAACTCCATGTAGTAAACAATGCCATAATATTCTCCTACCCATTCCCTATGAGTTCCACAACGGATTTATAAGTGAGGAGGAACATATTTAATTTAATACAATTTCATTAAACCATAGTGATTGGTCCATCTTCACGTCAAACTAGGTATTAATGAAATATACCAAGTGATATAGTAATCACTTTGGTGTCAATGACTTAGCTTAGGTTTTGGTGATTGGGCTATATTCAAGAGAGGCTGAATACTGATTAAATATGCAAAGAGTAATATGGTGGGAACGTGATTTTGTTTGTATCCATCACCTAGTTATATTGTAATGATTGTTTATTTTTTAGACCAGGCTTGATGCTGATTCAGTGTGCATATGCTATGATATAGCGATCATGACATTTTGGACATTTATAATTACATATATTACCTATTACATATATTAATTACATATAATTACATGTTGAATGTGATAGGTGTATGGCATAAAAAAACGGACTTTTACACGACACACCTACCATGCCCAGGAGTGTTTCTAGGGTCCTGAAAGACACAAGGCACATTTGGGTTCCTAGATTAAAATGTTACATTAATTCACTAAATTATCTTCTTAAAGGAGAACTATGAGGTGAGTGCTTTTCACTCATCCTCATAGTTCTAGCCGACCTGTGACAATGAGACTGTCACAGGTCTGCTCAGTAGATCGGGAAGTGAGCGAACACATAGCGGTGTTCGCTCACTTCTCGATCCTGTCACGGCTCTCTGCCGTGACAGGGGAGGGGCTGGATTCCACCCTCCCCGCTCCGATCCTCCAGCGCTGACTGGCGGTATGGACGGGGGAGGGGGCAGGTACAGCTGGCTCTGCTTCTAGATAGGCAGAGCCAGCTGTCATTCACGCAGCTGGGCGGATTCAGACAGCATTGTTGGGATCCGTTTCAGCTGAGGCATCTCAGTATACCGCAATCTGCAGCTCGCGGTATACTGAGCTTTGGGTAACGGGAGGACGCTAGTTTGTGTCCTCCTGTTACCCTTCGGAGAACTATGGGGAAAAACCCTAACCCCATAGTTCTCCTTTAACATAACTGAATTACTAGTTGAGATTGAAATGAATGTACCTGATACAAAAAACCTAACAACAAACGTTCAGCAAATATTGAATTATATGTATCTACAGGATAATTCCTGGGATGACTGCAACAACTGCTGCAAAAGAGACCTGTTAGACCTGCACTTAGTAGAACACCTGCGGCATAAGCCATGGGTGCCATTGTCTAGCAACATCTCTGCTCCCACCACTGTAATTACTAGGTCTCATGGCCCCAATAGCAGCTGTGTTTTCATTTGATTTACTTTTATAGGGTTATTCATTAAAGGGCGAAGAGTTTGGAGAAGGCAGGAGAAGTGAACAATCTAGGACAACATAGCTGAACTTGAAAGTGAGCTGAATTGGAGAATTTTTCCAAATCAGCTATTTTGGCTGAGATTGTTCACTTCTTCTGCCTTCTCCAAACTCTTCACCCGTTTGTAAATAGCCCTGTTAATTTGACAGCTGACTTCTTTTTAGCAAACGTGACTTGGGCTGGTGTAAAGATACCCAATAATGTATACATGCCGACAAATAGTGGAGAGCTCTAATCCTCCCCCTTGTGGTTTCGGGCTCACCTAACTCCTCTGTGACCACTGGAAATTGGGGTTTATGATGCAACAGAAGATCGATGCTCTATCCCCATTCATCCATAGATGGCAACCGTAACACTCTGTTTCTTCTTTATAAGTGTATTGGCTGCAGCATGGACACACTTTATGCTTGCATTCCTATAGTTATACTCTTGAACTAGTAACTACAGTTGGACATTACCTTTCTGACAGGCATCCTTGTCATCCTTTTCTAGTAGAAGATAGATTGGAGGTTCTGGGAAGAAGGGCAAGGAAACCAGCTGAACAAAAGATGTAATGCCACTCAAAAGCAGAACTTGAGGCCATAGAAACTCTGTCCCAAATAACTCTCTACACAAAATATAGCAAAATGTGGATCTTAAATTCATTATTAAAAGGAATACACTGTACATATAAAATGGACAAATAAAAAAACAATTTATATGATCTACAGGTAGGACTAGATTTCCTAGCACCGTTCTCAAAGCCTCATACAACATGTACTCTGATAATGATGAAAAGCAACCTTTACTGTGCCCACACCATGCAACATGGTACCTTTAAAGTTTTTAGTATAATGCTGTGCCCCATGAAGGCCCTTTGCCCCTTGTGACAGGCCTGACTATAAGATGATCATACACTGAGCACTGTTACGTGGAGAGAATGTACTACTCATCTCACACTCTGGAAGATGGTGTTTAGGGGGACAATAGTTTAGTAGAGGAAGACACAATACAGCTTCATTTTAATTCTGTTTTATTTTGTTATTGCTAATGTTTTATATATGAAAATGAATAACACAATGTGAAACATTAATGCAACTGGGTAGCCTGCTATCCATTACATATTTGCCGTCATATGCCCTTACCATTGTGGTCTCTCTACAAGTCTTTATACATTTATTAGTTTTATTCTGCTTCCCAGACTTTTCTAAAAATCAGATAATAATAAATAATTACTGTTTGAAGGCAAAAATTGGCAGCTTTTTTTATTTTAAAAGCTGAAGGAAAAAAATTATTTGCATCATTCCAGCCAATCTAACCTGCCCCAAAGAGTTTTATATGAAAGCAATTTTTGTGATACTGGCAATGCAGACTTTTGTTTTTGTACTTTATGTTTTAAAAAACAATATCAAATAAGGTATAGCATGTACATGTAAGATAAAGGGGGATATGATGCTGAAGATAAAATGGGACATAAAGGTTATTTTTACATATTCTAATTTAGAACATGCAAATAATATTGAATTAAGGCACTTGTCTCAAAGCTTCAAAGCCTAGATTTTCTAGACAATATATACTTTAGCTATGTTACTAAAATCAACTTAAATACTCCAATCACAGTAGTGATGCCGTACCTGAGCCCAACAATTTGGCCACACAGTTTGCCCAAAGTTACAAACATGGGTCCAGTGGCATTGATGAAACCACGTAGTTTGCGGGGGGCAGTCTCTCCCAAATACTGAGCATGAATATTAATTCCCAGACCTAAGGGAGGCATACAGAAAGTGAAATCTTTAGCAGACATTATTACTATGTCAGTACAATAAATAGTTAATCTAAACAAAAGTCGGAAGACAGTCACGGGACAGTTCCATCTTATGTCATGTGATGTATATACTGTTATAGTTGCATGAAGATATAACATTAATTACACTCCAGAACTCCTCATAATGCCATTAGTAGCCTTGAAACCATCCAGGCTGTTCCTTGAAATTAACATTTTGATGGCGTTGCTATACTACTTATATGTTGCTTGTGTGTAGGAGATAATATATTAATTGTGGAGACAGATGTTAAGAAGATGTATTCCCAAATCCTGCTGCACTCCTTACCGGGTATCCCTATCAGCATGGGTGCTTGAAGTGACCACGGATGGCCAGGGGCGTATCTAGCACGAGGCAAAGTAGTCGTTTGCCTTGGGCGGCATTTTTCAGGGGGGCGGCCCCCCAGGCAGAGGGTGAGAAGAGGGGACAGTGAGCGGGACAGCTTCGGACATGAGGTAAATGCTCGGCAGCTCGGACTGTTCATATCTCAGGGTCTGACGAGGAAGCCGCAGCCGTTCTGGTTCTCAGTAGACAGCTTCCTCATCAGACCCCGAGATACTGTATGTGCGGTTTACGTTTACTGTCAGTGTGTCAGCACAGGAGTCGGGGACATTACCTTCTCGTCCCGATCTTCCTCTCTTTCTTCCCCTGTACGCTGCTGCACAACTTAGTATACACAGTCTCCCCCTCCCCTCGCGGTTTAATGTCAGTGTCAGCACAGGAGGACATTATCTTCGCGTCCCGATCTTCCTCTCTTTCCTCCCCTGTACGCTGCTGCGCAAGTACACAGTCTCCGGGTCTCCCCCTC